ATTCTAAGTTTTAAGGTTATCGGTTCCTGAATCAACGCCCTTCACGGCTGTGCTCAAGTTCGCAGCAGAGGAATTCAAGGTGAGCTCATTACTGCTTGCATAATTAAACGCCTGATATATTCTCATTCAGATACCATTGCCCTTTCAGGAGCTTGAACGACTTATTCAGTAAGCTCCCGCTCAGTAAAATATCAGGTTTCCCTAAACTTACCGAAAACATGGTCTTGATTTGCTTGAAAGTAGGTGACAACGTTTGAAAGTACGGAACTTTTTTGCGTGAAACGGGATTTTCTTTGCAACCAAATCAGAAATTCCTTAGAGTGATGGAAATTAGCTGTAAAATTTTCGGCATTTCAAATCCGACATAGAGCGCGAACGCTTTTCTGTTCACGGCAGGTAATTCTTCAGCCCAAAGCCCAGGACCACACGAAGCTGACCTCGTTTCTTATCTGACATTAAGTATTTCATTCGCAGCAGAGGTTCCGTGAGGACAGTATGGAGTTCTTTCTCGTCATTCTCCCCACTTAGGTTAGCTCGAAATGAATTAAGCCTGATCAGAACGTTTTGTTATGACAACCGAAAAAGGACCCTGTCAAATCCATCATAAAGTCGCAAAGCTCATTATGTGGAGAAATTGTAGTTGGAACATATTTCAAGTCATGATATTGCACAACAGAGAAGTTTTCTTCCTTTATTTGACAAATATTTGACAAAGCGTTCCCCTCCGCATCTACTTGGCTCGCTTCTTGTTAAAACGTTTGCTAGTTGGAATTGAAACGTCCGAGTCACCGTCCTTCTGTGATGGTAGTAGAACAAACCTATGCAAAATGAATATTTCAAATGCATCAACGCGAAGTGCACCTGAATGGATCGCGATGTGCAGTTTTTCTTTTATAATGATGATTCTAGGGTTCGCTAAGAAAAGAAGCGACTTTTTCGCATTTTGCAGCGCAATTTTTTTTTGCTTCGAGATCCCAGCTCCATTCTTGATCATGTGTGGATTGAACATTGCTATGATTCCCACAGCGAAAAGTGTTTTGCGCTGCAAAAGTGGGGAGATCGCTTCTGTCCTAGCAAACCACGCCCTGACTGCTACAGTCCCGTTCCCTTGTTGTTTTCTGTATTTTATTAGGTTGTCTCATAAGTAGTGTCGCTTTTTCAACAAAAATTTTTCCTAAATCCCCATGCTTTTACATCGTGTCATATACCATTCGAAAGAGAATTGTCTGCTCTACAAGATGCTATGTTCTTCTTCCACCTCTGTTCCAGGGTTTTCAAATTTTAGGCCTGCGAAATGGGAGGTCCAGCCGACAAAAATTGACCAAACCGACAACTAGCTCTAACTTTATTTTCCTGGAGAAATCAATCAATGATGTACCCTCTACTTACCATGACCTCTTCTAAATTCCACTCTTAGGTTGCCGAAAAAGCTTTTATTTATTTATTTATTTATTACTATGCACTCGTAGGTGCGCTACAATAATTAGTCAGAAACCAAATCGTTATAAAATGAGAGTCATCGACTTAAAGTAAACACATTTGAGCAGTATTTTACCCACAAGCGGAAAGTTCACAGACACATATTATTCGAAATCGTTGATGCCTAATAAGGCAAGTAAGTCAATGATTTTTATATTCACAAGAATGCTGGGTTGTGAACAAAACTTTCGCCCCAGGCGGGACTAGAACCCGCACCTCTCGCTTTCCGGGCAAGTGCGCTACCAGTTACGCTACCGGGGCACCATTTCATTCCAACTCAGCTTTTCATGGTATACGTACCATAGCTTTCAGCACTCACACGTCTAACGTGTTGAGCCGGTTAGCCGATATCGGCAATGACCGCGAGGCTGAAAGCTTTAGCAATGAATTTTGACTTGTTTTGTTTGTTAACTGCTGTTTTAACGCCGCAGTTCGCGTTGCGAATGTTTCACAAGAATGCTGGGTTGTGAACAAAACTTTCGCCCCAGGCGGGACTAGAACCCGCACCTCTCGCTTTCCGGGCAAGTGCGCTACCAGTTACGCTACCGGGGCACCATTTCATTCCAACTCAGCTTTTCATGGTATACGTACCATAGCTTTCAGCACTCACACGTATAACGTGTGAGTGCTGAAAGCTATGGTACGTTTAGCCATGAAAAGCTGAGTTGGAATGAATGAAATGACACCCAGCATTCTTGTGAAACATTCGCAACGCGAAACTTGCGGCGTTTAAAACAGCACGTTAACAAACAAACTCCAGCTTTGTCATATTTCTTTTCAATTTGTTTTTTCTGGCTTTTTCTGTGCCACAGCGGTTCTGTATTGAAATTCTTCCTCTGAAACGCTATTGTTTTATATCAAGTGGTGTATCTTTTGTGAGCACTTCTTCTGCTCTATTCGCTCATTTGTTTTGTTTTTATTTGTTGGGAATTAGTTCGAATTTTAGGTGATAAGGTGTTTTTCCACGAAAGTGACCGCATTTCTTTGAAAAAAATTATCCCTTAGAAGATGAGAAAATCAACCAGGCGTACATTCCTAACTTAGTCATGACTTGTTCTTGAAATTCTACTAGTTTTTCAATGTCTCGGCTGTAAAAAAATTTCGAGCTAGATCTCAAGGTAATGGTGCTTGACCGTCGAGTTCTGGTTGAAAAACCAGGTCTGGAAAAGGAGCGACGCGACTTGTTGGGAAACCTAATAGTGGAATGTTTAGAAGAGGTCATGCTAAGTAGATGGTCAATCATTGGCTGATTCCTCCTAGGGAACATAGAGTTAGGGCTAGTTGTCGGTTTGGCTATTTTTCGTCGACTGGACCTCCCATTTGCAGGCCTGAAATTCAAACCCCTGTAATGACTGCGGAAGGAAGACGCTCTATTTCGAATGGTGTGTGGCATTTCGAAAAACTTGGGGAATCATGAGAAAATTTTCTGCTTGAAAAAAAACCGACTCTACTTATGGGACAACCTAATGCTTCGCATCTTTAGGAAAAATGCCCTCTCATGTTTAGTCGTTTTGGTGCTGTTGTCGTTCTTCAACTAGTGTAATTCATTTCAGGTGCCAGCTGCAACTTCTGCTATTATCACCAACGATGGGATTGGAATTAATCCTTCACAGTCAGCTGGAAACATTTTCCTGAAACACGGAAGTGAGCTACGATTGATTCCTCGAGATCGAGTAGGAACGATACTTCGAGCTTGTTTTTAGTGATGTTTAGCATATTTTTTGAAAAACATATCTCTAAAAATTTCTCGTTGTTGTTTTCTGTTGATTGCCACTTTCCCATGTGTCCAGAGTATTTATTATTTTTATTTTATGCTTATATAGCTACTGTGATTGTCTGTACAATTCTATGATTTCTATTTGGGGTTATGCTGCTGAGTAAAGGTTTCTCTGCCGCACTTCAGCGTACTATGAAGAAAGTTTCATACTTTCGTAACATTTTCGCAATGTTAATAACTGAAATTTGATCATGTGAAAGTATCTCTCTTTTACAGTTTCTGTACAGTGTTGGTAATCTAATCTCAGATCCAGAATGCAGTTGAGCCCGTCACAAAAGCAGTTCATCATAAAGAGTGTCAATGTCTCGACTTTTGTATTCCAATGGGGATTCGTTCCCTTCGTCGTGTACCTCGGTTTCAGAAAAGGTCCTGAACCCCTGCCGAATGGACAGGTACGAGTCGAAATTTGATTTCCCATTTTTTCAAGTGAAACCTTTTTACACATTTCGTCCTCTTTGAAAAGAATAATCCATAATTTGCTGAAGTACGGTTTTCCCAGTTTTTGTTGCTCATTTGACCACACGCCGATCTAGTGTTGCTTAATTGCGTGACATCTTCTGTACCTTTGCTTCAACACATGTTTCAACCTAAATGAGCCCTGTTTTGTGTAAGTGTGGCCAAAAGAAGCCCACCATAAGGTATCTCACCGTCCCGAAGATCGAGCGAAGTGTGCATAGCGCAGTCAAGTAGCTTGAATTTTGAACTTCTGTGTGAGTCTGCAAGTTTTGTCAGGATAGCGAAAGGATTGGATCTTACCCAGAAGGTCTCCACTCTTAACTGAATCCTTACCAAAAATATAGCCATAATAGCATAGTAATAGCTGGTACAACCTCCTTTCTGCAGAGCCGAATACGAACTCCCCGTTTCTAACCTTCAAAAAACCGCTGATCACGCTCGATAGTTTATCCTGAAAATCTCATTATAATCCTTTTTTTTTGAATGAAAGTGTCGATTTTGTCACGATTTCTACAGGCTGTTGTTGATTTTACCTACTAGTACCTCTGAGTCGGTCGCCTAGACTGACAAATGTTGCGGATGTTTGGGATGAGGAAATCCTTGCAATTGTGGTGTTAATTCTGATGCCACTTACGACTAACGCCAAAACTCCATTTTAAGACGTTTTCTTCGACTTGGTCTTTTTTCAGATCGTGCCTTTCACGCTCTTCAGCCTGCTATGGGGCTAAACTGCTTCGGAGTAATGCGACACGCGAAATCGGCTTGAGTGAGCCATTATTACTAATGAATAGTTGAATTAGTTGTTATTCTTGTTCCGTGGTAATTGTTACCTTGTGTCATGAATTTTGTACCTCTAGAAAGCAATTGATCTGAAATTATAAATCGATGCGTTCTATTGTGTGCGGTATGGTCGGCGAAAACATTTCGCAGTGCATTTGACAGCTCTCGATGGGACTATTATGAAAGTTCCGAGTGTTGAAGCAACGAATCGTCATATGTGCTTTTGTATTCCATTGTTGTTTGTTCAGTAGTTTCGCGAACAAGGAGATTCAGGGACTCGAAGCTTGATCTCATGCTGTTTGGACGGGCATGATGCTCGTTTCGGTAATAACTCAACATACTAGTGAGTAATCGTATTAGGAAAAACGGCACAAATCAGCAATCATAAAACGAAAACAAAACAGGAACCAACAAACAAAATGCTCTTGTTTATTCCAGCAAGTATTTTGTGCAGCAGTTATCGCGGCCCACAGTTACTCTAATTTTCGCAAAGAACAAAGCTCTGTGGTGGGTGTAGAAATGAAGGCGAATGATTCACGCAAACCGGAGCTTCTTCGCTTGCAAAATTACACAACGCACAAATGATCACGTGCAGATCCACCACCTATACAACTCATGGTCAGTCCAGTAACCCTATACAGTATAATTCTGCTTGGGACTTCGTGAATGCGCCTAGATATAAAGATAAGAAGGCGTGCGGATCCGTTCGTTTTAGCATTGAGCTCTGTTTTGCGAACGTCCTGGTTAATCGCCGATCCTTTGATGTGCCGCAGAAATCGCGGGATGGAGCAG